TTTTTTTTTTTTTTTTTTTTTTTTTTACGAGAATGATGCTCCATGGCCAGCGTGACTAGCCGAGAATCCGTGCAAACATTCTCAATATAGAAAGCACAATTGCAGTCCGATGCGTTATACTTGACCAAATAGGCCTTGCCACGCCGGCTCAATACTGAGGAACACCGCAGCCAGCAGCCAGTAGCCAACAGAAAACAGCGATTTCGAGAGGGGACTATCAGGAAAAATTTAAGAAAAAGTTATGGAGCACAGTACAGCCTGGCATACATCGGGGAATTTCCCCCAACAAGCCTCTGGTGGCACACAAGCCTTACTTATTTAGTCAAATAAGAGATGACGGAAATTCCCCGAATCCTTTTTGATATTGAAGTTCAGTGAAAAGTACCAATGGCCCTTGTGCTTTTTTTATTGGGACGTAGCGCAGCGGGCAATTGGGGCAAGTGTTCGAGAAAGAAAAAGTTAATGCACTCTTTTTTTTTTTTTTCTGTTTTTCTTCTCAAACTGCAGTCATCCGACGTAGTGCAGCTGGACGAGAACACTCTTTTTCTGTTTTTCGTCTCAAACTTCGGCCCAGGGAGCATTCTCCAGCTGCACTATGTCCGATGACTTCAGTTTGAGAAGAAAAACAGGAAAAAAAAAGAGTGCATTAACTTTTTCTTAATCAACTTAGGAGAGCACACTCCCTAAGCGGGCACCCGGATTGTAGGCTCCAATCAATTGGTGAGGAGCAGCAGCTGCTGGAAAATGGGTCAAATGTCCCTTGGTCAAATGTCCCTTGACACTCAGCAGCCCTTCAGAAGCCACCAGTAGCAGTACATATCCAATTTTTTCAGCAGCCGATTTGTTCAAAGTACCAGGTAGCTTGCTGCCGCAACTTTCGGGGCTCGGCATTCGGAGAAAAATGGCTGGCGGCACCAGCCAAAATGAGGCCCGCATAGGAGAAAAATGGCTTGGCGTGAAGAGCATTGCAGCATTAGAGAAAAGTGCCCCGGAAGAACTGGTGGGCTAAACCGCCAGTACCTCGCTCAGGTAAAAAAAAATAGTCGCAGCCATTAACGTGCCTCAGAAACACCCGGTCACTGCCCTATTAAAAAAACAAAAAACAAAAACAAAAACAGAGAGGAAAAAGCAAAAACCAACAACGATATTTCCTTCAAATGGAAAAAAAAAAATGACTAACATTTAATTTTTGCTCCTCGAGCGCAGGGGTGGTGTGGGGGGGAGAGAGAGAGAGAGAGAGAGAGAGAGAGAGAGAGAGAGAGAGAGAGAGAGAGAGAGAGAGAGAGAGAGAGAGAGAGAGAGAGAGCTCCCCCTCCCCTCCTGCTCTTCCTGGTCTGAGCTTCTTTTTTTTTTTCTGAAGTAGGCGGTGACTGATTCCTCACTCTGGATCAGCGAGAGCTAAAGAAACACAGCAGTTGGCCAAACAGGATAACACGGCTGGAAACCGGGCCCAGCGTTCCTTATGAAAGTTCGGAATCATGAAATACCAGGGACATCACCAATGACCGCTGAGACTGCACCCACAAACAGCCTCCAAGATCTCTTCCGGGCCTCAAGCCCCCTTCAGGCTAGGTGACAGAGTTGCGCCACCTGGCTCCGGCTCCGGCCATCGTTGCTCCAGCATCGGTCTTCAAGGGCCACTGTGTTTCAATCAAACTCAGCAGAATCATAGATGGGTTGCTGGATGCCACCTATTCCTGGCACCTCCTCGAGAGGCAAAACCAATTAAAGAGAATTGAGAGAAAATTGCTGGACTGGATGTTTAGAAATCCTCGAAAAGAAATCACCCCTCCCCCCTCAGCCCTACACTGCCTCCGCTGAGGCGAGCCTCCCGCTCTCACTCGGCCCCAAAATAGGACCAACACCCTCCAACCCTATCCCCGAGGACACGCAGTTCCCTCCTAAAACATGCCCTCGCCACCCCTTGCCGGTTTCTGCTACCACTGGGGTCGATGTTGACACCTCCACCAACCCCAGCCCCAGAACAGGGCAACCCCCCAACTCCGCCCCTACCCTCTTCGAGACATTCACCTCCCTCCTTGTGAATCCCCCAACTCCGCCCCTACCCTCTTCGAGACATTCACCCCCCTCCTTGTGAATCCCCTGCAGGATAGCCCTCCCTGTCCACCCCCTCTTCCAATTGTACCCTTCTGGAATGATCAATCCAGCCTGCAGCCATTACAGCAGTACTAAAGAATCTCGCCACCAAATAGTCGAGAAAACTACACCACAAAAATAAGCTTGAAATTGCGAATCGTCGAGTTCCAAATCAAGAAAATCCCACCGCATCTATTGAGATTAACCCGCTGAAGAAGGTGCAGGGCGTCAGTAGAGCTTTGTTGCAACCATTCCCCTGCCCCTTACGCCAACCAAAAATTGGCAGCTCCCACCACATACACTCGATACAGATTTAAAAAGTGAAAACTAATTATCGGAAAAATTCTTCAGAATTTAGGCTATGATAGTAGAATTCAGAAGCACTCGGGATTTTTAGAAGATATAGTCGAGAATCAAAGATACGTAACTATAGTGAATTGTGCTAACGATTCAGACTGAATGATGTTGAAGTAAGACCAAGACAAACCAAGATTATAATTGAAGAAATTGAACTTACCTTGGGAACTGCAATAGCTATTTTACTCTGACCAGTATTATCGGGGACAAGGGCGGTGCAGATACGACCATACAAAGGTTTAACCCTGATCGTAATTACCCTGAACAGTGAGCCCATACGACAATTACCAAATTGTCATAGAAGGTTTAACTGCAATAGCTATTTTACTCTAACCAGTATTATCGGACAAGGGCGGTGCAGATGCGACCATACGAAGAAACAAGAACAGCACCACGATCGCCACAGTCTTTTCGGCGCAACTACCTTCCCCTGAACAGTGAGCCCATCAACTAGTCGGAGCAGAAAACATCGTCACAGTCCCTTCCGGATGCTCGCACTTGAACGATCCTCCTCCTACCACTCCACGTGAGAACGCGCTCCTCCCTTTCCGCCCGCGATTCCCAACAAACCTCCTCAACACTGCGCAGGAGCGGAGGAATGATCTTCCTCTTCCCACTGTGGCCAAGATCTCATCGAGATCATCCTTCTTCCGACAATAGTCTCCCCTTCGCCAGCGTGCCAAACTGCGACACCACTTGGACGAAGCGCAGAGCCGAAGACAACTTTCCCTAATTGGCAAAGCTGGAAGAGCGTCCACGTGGAAGCTTGCGCGTCGATGGCCACTCAGGATATACACCAAGCACTAAGTAGAAGCATTCCCCAACAACCATCACCCATATGCCCACGTGAAATCGCCCGAGAACACACCGGCAAAAATCGAAGCCAACGAAGCACTGCGGGTGCGCAACGGACCGGGCCGATAGCGGAGCAGCGCGGCACTCCCCAGGATTCATGCTTCTTCCAAGCATGCACTGGAAAGATAACAGCATGAGTGACATTTACATGCAGTCAAGCCTTCACCATCGGCAAGCTTTTCCATCCGCACCATATATGCTCCCAGCAAATTCATTTCGAGCATCCTCGGATCTGGGGCTTGCCACAAACGACGCACTCATCTGGTGCTGCGAGCGGTTCTGCACAGTTCCTCGTGAAAAGGCCCGACCAGACAAACTGCTGCTCGCCTCTGCATTTAACATATGAGATCGACAATTTCCTTTGTTCGTGATGAGGTGTGGGGAGAACTAAGAGCGTTCCAAAGGGTGGGTCCGCTAAGCACACAGGGATACGAACCATGCAGCATGCCGACAGGTTCTGCTACTCAGAAGATCTGCCACCATGATCGCCGCCTGTTTTGCATGAAATCTCCCATTTCCGTAGTGAAGCCTTCACGTACCCTTCTTTGATCTCGAAATCCAACAACGTGCAAGCCAATGAAATAAAATGCAACACCGACCGCAACGTTCAGCAGAGTGTTCCTAACTGTTGTCCAGTTTGAAGAACCCCCCCCCCCCATTAGAGGATGCACCAGCTCCACCACCTCTCCCCCGATCATCCACATTCCCATCTTCCTCCAATGACTGCGAGGCAGGATCAGTACTTTGCAAAGCAGTAGCAGCTCCGGCCGTACTATTACCCCCAGTTCCGCTAGCTCCGTTACCTCCCCTCAGCCTTGACATCAGGTCATTTGCAGTACCCTCAACGTCTCCATCCCCACTTCTCCCTCCTGCAGAAACCAAGGCAAGTGCCCTTCCCTGTATCGAACCATCTGACGATATTCCGTCAAAATGAAGAGCTGCTGACAACATCTCAGAGACTCTCTTGTCTCTGACATCCTGCACCCTTCTCATTCTTCTGGTTCCTTCACTTCCTACTGCCTCCTGCTGCAGACTACCGTCTTCAAAGACAGATGGACCTTCCAGACTACCATCATCTCCACCCATGCCATGTCTAAGACCCAGAGGTGTTTCCGACCCTTCCTCTCGTCTTCGGCTTCCACTGGCATCAGGGCTACGATCCAGGGCAGTGCGCAATGGACTACTCTCCTGAGTGCGTGGCAACAGCAATCCATTGGCCCCTTGCCTGGATCCTGGCGGGATTTCCAATGAAGTTTGTGGTGGGGATCACAAAACGGAGCTCAAAATTCCGCTCCGACAGGTTGCACTCAAAGAGGTCTTGCATCAAGTTCTGTACATAGACGGCAATGCTGTCATTCATTGACCGCCTTCGCGGACGGCAACTCCGCCTCTGAGTAGCCGTCAGAAGGATCTCCTCCCTTGTCCCACCTTCCCTACCTCTACTCATTGCAGCTTCCTCTGCTCGGCCACTGGATGACCCATCTTCTCACTGTCTCTGCCCCTCCTCTGCATCCCCTGCTGCACTTGGATTTTCTCCCGCAGCTTCAGCACTCTGCTCCTGTCTGATTTCAATGCCAACTTCCCTCACCGTGACTTCCCTTTCCATCCCATTATTGTCGATTTGCAGCACCCTTGCACCCTGTTCCCGTCTCTCATGCTCATCTCTGTTTTCATTCTCCAACTCCTGGGCATAATCCAAATCAACCTCCTCCTCCTCCTCATCATCATCCTCGTCCTCCTCCTCTTCTTCGTCTTCTTCATCCTCTTCATCCTCCTCTTCCTTGTCCTCCTCTTCGTCATCATCTTCCAGTTCATTTTCATCGTCCTCCTCCTCGTCCTCCTCCTCCTCCTCCTCCTCCTCCTCATCGTTGTCATCCTCATCCCCATCCTCGTCCTCACCAGCCTCACCACCCACACCTTCATAATCATCATCCTCGTCAGCAGTATCCCACTCCTTGTCTTCCACTTCAATTCCCTCACCATCATCGTCCAGCTCCAGATCACTCCTCCTCCTGGAATTTTCAGATGCTGCAGACGTTCCATTCCCTCCAGAACCAGAGGCCCCACCACCCCTGCTCATAGGAGCATCCTCCGTTCCATGATTTTCACCGAGCCTCCCATTTGCGGATGCTTGCCAATGTGCTGCACTGCTAGCCATAGCAGCAGGCGAATCACATCACTCCGCTCGGGCACTGGCTTCAGCACGATCTGATACCTGGGTGTTTTCATCTGAGGGCCTGGCCCCATCGGGGCCCTCACCAGCTATTGCTTGCTCAGGCCCTGCGTTGCGCGTCCCTTTCCCTTCCCCTTTCTCTCTGCCTCTCACGTACCCTCCTCCTTCGGTGCCGCCGCCTCTCAGATGCATCTACCCCATGCATGATCGGCTGCCCAAAGAGCTCCAGAATGCGCACAAGTTGCTGAGGTGGAAATCGCTCGAGGTCAACCTGSAAACGTCTCGGGTGCCTTMCTTGAGAGCRCYGMCTCKGCTGGCGAATTGCACCACCCACCTCTGCTGTTTCCATCTCCTYCAGAAAGCCACTACTGCAAGTGGGGCATATAGTTTCAGCACCGGGAAGAAGATCGACCTGGGTGTTGCACTGATAACACCAGAAAGGTAAGGAGCCAGCTGGCGACGTCTGAGAACYAAGAGATYGRGATGCCAAAGGCACAGTGGATGGAGACACAGCAGATGGAGCTGCGGCGCCTTGCTGCAAGGGTGGGGGGTCTGCCATGGTTGATGGGCCTTCTGCTGTGAGCGTCTACCACAACACCGCACCAACTGCTGTCTTCCAGATTGCCTGGAATACCCCTGCAAGCACCACCTTACTTGCAGTTGCTTCCCCTCAACACCAGCAACCACCCTCTCCCAAGTTCTCCCTGGAAGTTAAACTCACAGGATGTAGCCCCGGCGCTTGGATAAAAGTGGGGATTCCATTTTCCCTCACTAGCAGAAGTGTTCTGTACGCCCCTTAAGCAGAGGAGGAGGTCCGCACAAGCAACTATACCTGAGGCTCAACATTCCTCTTGTCGTTCCTCGGATAGGCATAAGCCAATTCTGCTGCCCCTGGAACCAGAATACAACCCCCCAATATAAGCCTGCTGCATGCCAAAAGAAATGCAACCAGGTAATCGAATGAGCTCACTTGCAATCCAAAGTCGAACACATCCACATGTTTTCAACACATGGCTTTACATCAAGACAGCCTATAAAACTACAAAATACCAAGTTAAGAAACATGACGACACTGCCCTTTTCCCTGTTTTCCTTTCTTTTTCCTTTTTTTTGCCCCCAAACACACTCATGGCCCTTAAATTCTGGGGGGGCGTCAGTCCGGTCGCTTATCACAGGCAAGCATGAACAAATGTAGAAAGTGGCAAGGAGAGCAGCTCTGCCCTGGCACAAGTCCCCCAGGGCAGGGGGCTGTTGTTGCAAACTGCAGTCCGGGGCATCATGACGTTTGTCTGCTTGGATCTCTCTAGCCAGGAGACGCTCGGCGTACTCAGATGCTCAGGGGGGTCCAAGTCTCAATCGTCAACTCCCTCTGCTCTGCAACAATGCTCCTGCTGTTAAGGGACCGCCACGCTCAATGCTGTGCCCACATCAATTCTCCACAGTTTCTCAGGAGTACGCCCTCGATCGTCAACTCCCTCTGCTCTGCAAAAATGCTCCTGGCTGTTAAGGGACCGCCACACTCAAGATGACAGATGAACATGGTGACGTCACTCAGTGTATTTACGCCTATCTCCTTCCACACCAGCCTTACACTTTGCTTACTAAACCTCGGTTATCCCGACCCTGCAGCTGCAAGATTGTGACGTCACCATGTTCATCTGTCATCTTGGGCACTCACCGCCCTTTCTTTTGAAGTTGATTCTTCCATTCATGCCGTTATCGTTCCAAGTTGTGGCTGACAGCAACGCTTCAGCCACATCTCGAGAAGCTCGACACGAATCATTACACAACCCATCCAGTTAAGGCATCTACTTTTGATTTTCTTTTTCTCTTTTTTTTTAATTTGGACTATTTCCTCGATTTATTTGTGTCATCCTTGCGCAGGGGCCATGCTAATCTTCTCTGTACCGTTCCATTCCTATTATCTTACTTCCTTGATCCTTTGAGACTTTCTTTTCAAAATTTATAAGCACAAAATATGGTCGAACTTGGAGCGCTGAAAAGTTCAAGCAATGCCACCAAGCCACCACCTACACCAAGTAGGATGACCTACCACGGCCAGCGTGAATACCGCCACACGCCTCGGCTGAAATGTAAGGCAGTGGAGGTAAGTGTGACCCCCTTTATGATGATCGTCATTCTGGCAACGATCACATGAGAATACTACACACTCACAACTTCGTACTCTAGTGACGTTACGAAAGCCAACTTTACAAAAAGTACTAGTACTCTAGTGAGGTTATGAAAGTCGACTTTACAAAAAGTAGAGCTCAATCGCATAAAACAGAATCGCAGTGGGAACTGCAGGAGGGAGGGAGGGAGGGGCCATGGACATGAAATGAGAGAGGGGATGGCACGGACACAAGATTTTCAAAAAGCGGCAGAATCGCAGAGGGGACTGGAGGAGGGAGGGAGGGGACATGGACATGAAATGACAGGGGATGGCACGGACAATAGATTTTGGAAAAGCGGGCAGGGGAGGGGAGAGGAGGCAAGGAAGGAGTCGGAGTAGACAGGGTAAGAGACAAGAGGACAGGAGAGGTGCCAAGAGAAAAATAAGAAGAGAGAGAACAAAACAGCAGAGACCAGAATGAAACACATCAAATCGGAGTGGAACAGAGCGGAGCAAGGCAGAATATGACTGCACAAACAGATGAACGGAGGAGGCGTTAAGGCCCTCCTCTTTCAACTACACTGTTAACTGTCACACCGTATGACCACACAGCGGTCTAAGAGAAGGCTGGGAAGGAGAGAGCACATCAATTGCTATCACGTTGAATGGTCTGATTCCTCCAATACAAATACTCTCCAGTGGCAGCCTGAGCTTTGTCGTAGCCGCCTGGAGCAGATTTTTCACGTATTGACATCGAGTCCATTCCGTTTGAGCCCTGAGTCCATTCCGTTTGAGCCCTGACCGGTTTCACGGACGCCCGTACCCTCGCCTCGACTCAATTTTTGGTCGAGGGTCACAAGAAGTATCACACGGAGTCCATAGCCGGCCGATGGTCACCCACCTCCTAACACGTATCTCGTCCATTGGTACTACTGCCCCGAGGAGGAGTCCCTTATATGCATGTATGTGCTTCATGCTCAGTTTGGTATAGAGCTTGCTTCAGCCTAGTCCATCGACCCTTCTCCTCCCTCGGCTCCAAACCCTGCTATGCTTAGAACTTATTCCCCAAGCACCTTTTGGAAAAAATGGACTCCGCGGGATACGGGAGGAAGCATGTATGACGGCACGGAGCTTGTGGCAAATACACACAGTCCGATCACCATCAAGCTAGATAGATGGAAATCGAAGTAGCAGCTATACGTGGAGTCAGTTGCATGTAATGCTCGTCAAACAGTGGTCTTTGCGCTTAGGAAAAATGTTCTATAGAACTCGCATTGAACTTTCGGTCAATGCTGCTCTCGGGGGCGATCGAGGGAGGAGGTATGCGAGACGCAGATGGTGCAATCTGGTTTGCCCGTCCAGTTGCAGCACAGACACACAAGCCGTACATAACCTGTCGAAATCTGAGAGCACAAGTCGATGAGGAAGCATCCCCTCCCCACTCTGCTCCACCCAGACGGGTAGTGCAAGGGCCTGCCACGCACCCTACTCCTGAAGAACAATCCTTCAGTCAACATCTTAGCTTGCTCGGGGCCTCGTATTTGCACCGTGACATCCACTTGCCCTTACTCTGGAAGGCATGGAAGGCCCTGCCTCCGTGGGGGCATTCCCTCACTACCCTCGTCCGCTGAGAAGACTAGCGCAAGCCAACCAGGCAGGTTTCTCCAGGCGGCCATGCACCCTGCACCTTAAGAACGATGCCTTGGCTACCGGTAGCTTCTTTTGCCAGCAAACTTAGGGCCTCGTCTCTTCACTGTAACGTTCAATTCCTCTTGCCATGGAAGGCACCGAAGGCACTGCCTCTACAAAAACATATCCCCGCTAAATATGGCAACTAACCTGATTCCTCCACACGTCCGTGATTCATGATTGATTACTTACAAAAAAATATCCCAATCCGCATGAACAGAATTGTCACTATCATCAGCTCGTATGCTCTCCCATCTCAACAAGGTCCTACGCTCACTCTCTTTACACACCCCTTCTCTCCCCTATCCGTCCACCTTTCTAACCCCTCTCTCTCTCTCTCTCTCTCTCTCTCTCTCTCTCTCTCTCTCTCTCTCTCTCTCTCTCTCTCTC